GTGCCCGCAGGTGCGGGAGACCTACAACAGGTTCCAGGACGAGGACGGGTGCCCCGATGTAGTGCCACCGGGGATAGCCAGGCCTGTCGACTCTGACGGCGACGGCATCAGCGACCTCTTGGATCTGTGCCCCACGGAGCTTGAGACCTTCAACGGTATCTTGGACCGGGACGGCTGCCGCGACGACTACTCCCTGACGCAGGACTCTGACGGCGATGGCATTGAAAACAGTGTGGATTCGTGCATTTACGAGCGGGAGGTATACAACAACTTCCAGGACAACGACGGATGTCCCGACGCAGTCGATGCGGGCGTGACCGAGTTCACGTTCCCCGACACCGACGGCGACGGGCTGGATGACAGGTGGGACCAGTGCGTGGACATACCCGAGAACGTCAACGGCTACCTTGACTGGGACGGTTGCCCGGACACGCCAGGCGTGGTGTCCCCGGCCTTGATAAACGACTCTGACGGTGACGGCATCATTGACGAAAACGACCTGTGCCCCGACATAGGCGAGAGGTACAACAGCTATCTGGACGAGGACGGCTGCCCAGACCTGATACCGGTCCTCCGCGACGGCGACTCGGACACCGACGGAATAGCGGACTCGCTTGACGCCTGCCCGCAGATTGCCGAGACGTATAACGGCTTTGAGGACGGCGACGGCTGCCCCGACTATATCGGAGGTGTGGGCGGCATTCCGGACAGTGACATAGACGGAATAATCGACGTTCTGGACCTGTGCCCGCTGGCCCCCGAGACCTACAACGGCGTGCTTGACCACGACGGCTGCCCCGACAGGGTGCTGAGCAGCCTGGATGCAGACGACGACGGCATACCGGATCCCCTGGACCAGTGTGTTGACGAGGCAGAGGTGTACAACAGGTTCCAAGACTCTGACGGTTGCCCCGACTCTGTCATCACGGGACAGACCGGTTTTGAGTTCCCAGACACAGACGGAGACGGCCTGGATGACAGGTGGGATCAGTGCCTGCTTGAGCCAGAGGAGTTCAACGGATACCTGGATCACGACGGCTGCCCAGATGTCATACCGGAGGAGGTCAGCTACGAGTCCGAGGGTGACATCGACGGCGACGGCTTCATAAACGAGGCCGACTCGTGCCCCACGGAGCCTGAGACCTGGAACAAGTACCGGGACTACGACGGATGTCCGGACGCACTGCCGAGCCAGCCCAGGGTTACACCCGATAGCGACGGCGACGGCATTCCGGACAGCATAGATGCGTGTGCAAGCGAGGCCGAGGACTACGACGGCGACCGCGACACCGACGGCTGCCCCGACCCGTAGGGATATGATGCCTGCGGCACCGTGCCGGGCGTGAGTGTCATTCTGGATATGTGTGTCTAGGTTTGCCTGCGCGGCCGTACATGTCCGGTAACGCATGCCTTCGGAGAGTAGCCTAGATGCGGATGGCACCATGCCGGCAGCTGCGGGGCTGCATCCGGCCTTAGCTGCTCAGCCAGCCAAGCCTCTTAAAGTAGGCAAACATTATTCCTGCGGGAATCACCGAGGCCAGTATCACTATGATAAACGTGGTATAGTCCCCGTTCTGGGTTATCCCGCCGGGCAGGCTGACGTTCATGCCGTAAAAGGTCCCTATCACCGTGGCGGGTATGGCCAGCGTGAATATTATCGTGAGCAAGGCAAGCACCTGGTTTGTCTTCTCGGTGCTCAGCATGTAGTCGGTATCCTTGTATATCTCCATGGTCTCCCGGGACTCCTCCAGGGTCTCGATCACCTTGTCTATGTGGTCTATTATGTCGTCAAAGTACAGGACGAGATCCTCCGTTGCAGAGAACTTGGGCAGGTGCTTTGCCGTCTCCACCGTTATCCTCTTCAGCGGGGTTACGATCCTCCTTAGCATGGTGATCTCCCGCCGCAGCCTGGCGATCTTCTTTGCGATGGATCTCCGCTCGTCAAAGGCCCCGTCCTCGACGTCGTCGATGTTGGCTATGATGCGGCGCATGGTGTGGAGCAGGTCGTCCACTAGGACGTCTATTATCTCGTACAGCAAGACACCGGTGGAACGCTGCAGCAGGCGCCGGCTTCTCTCGGAATCGGTGCCATTCCTGCACATGTCCGCCAGATCCACCAGTGGCTTTAGATCTCCTTGGTGCACCGTGATGAGAAAGTCCTTTCCCACAAAGATGGACAGCTGGCTGTACTTTGGCATGTGGGACTTTGAGGACAGGGGGGGAAAGTGCAGTATGAGAAAGACGTGGTCGTCGTAGCTGTCCAGCTTGGCAAGCTCGAACTTTGCCAGGCAGTCCTCCACGTTGAGCGAGTTGAGGTTGTAGCGCCTTGCAAGCTGCTCCATGTACTGCCTGTCGGGATTCTGCAGGTTCAGCCACGTAAACCCGTTCCCGCGAACCTCCTCCATCTTCTGGGACGTTGCCGCCTCCTCTGCGGGCTTGCGGCCGTGGAGCAGCTTCTTGGGTATGGTTACTTTCTTCATTTTGAGATGTTCCTGTGGTTCAAATATAAAACTGATCATGTGCGGTGCCCGACACCCGGGCTATGCCGCAGAGTTGTGCTCCTGCCTGGCGCAGGGGGCCGGCCGCGTCACGGGGAGACGGCCTTTGCCACGGCCTCCTGCAGCTCCTTTCTGTGTACCTGTATCCTTGCGCGTATCTCAAAGGGATCCATGAGGTTGCTGGCGGATGCGCGAGTGGCCTTTAGGAGATAGTGCAGCGCCCCCTCCTCCAGCCTGCCGACGTAATACCCGTACAGAAAGTCCAGGTTGCTGCCGCACCCCCACGCCTTCGTGTTTGGGAATGCCTGCGCCACCTCGCCGGGAATCTCCCGTATCCTTCTCCTGATGTATATGTCCAAGGATCTCTCGATGCTGGAATCTCGCATCATACCCAAAGTGATAAGAGTCCCGTATAATTCAAGTTTGCTGGCGTGAGTCTTGGGGAGTCGGTTCTGCTGGGTATGCTGCAGGGGGTGCTGGAGTGGCTGCCGGTCTCTAGCACTGGCGGGCTCGTCATAGTAATGGTGGAGTTCCTCGGGTACGCGGCAGAGCGGGCCACGTCGCTCTCGTTCTTCTTGCACCTTGGCACTGCGCTCTCCGCGGTGCTGTACTTTCGGCGGGACGTCCAGGGACATACTTGCCGGCCTCGGGAGATACCGGCCGGGCTTTGCCGGCGGCAACGGCCTGGTCTCGTTTCTGATCCTCACCAGCCTGATCAGCGGCGCCCTGGGTTTTGCGGTCTATGCCGTATCGGCAGAGTACGCGGTATCCGGGGAGCTGCTGCTGGGCATGGTGGGCGTGGCGCTCATAGCCACGGGGCTGGTCCAAAGGTTTGTCCGGCAGACCGGGCTCCGGTCCTCTGCGGACTTGAGCCTCCGGGACTCGGTGCTGCTGGGGGTGGTCCAGGCGTTCTCTGCCATTCCAGGCCTGTCACGGTCCGGCGTCACGATATCGGCGCTGCTCCTTCGCGGCTACCGGGCGCAGGACGCATTGCGGCTGTCCTTTCTTATGGGGATTCCGGCGGTGCTTGGGGCGCAGGCGGGTCTGGTTGCCGTGGGCGGGATTCCGGACGTGCCTGCGGCGGATCTGGCCGCCGGCCTGGCGGCCTCCTTTGCTGCGGGATACCTATCCATAGGGATCCTGCTGAGGATCGCGGGGCGGGTAAGGTTCTGGCTGTTTGCAGTAATCATGGGCTCGGTGGCCCTGCTGTCACTTGTGAATCTCTAGAATATGCCGAACTTGCTTGACTCCATCTCTTCCTTTATGGCAAGCTTGAACCGGGGCGAGCCGGCCTCCACCCTCTGCGTCAGCCACGCAATAAACTTCTTGTCCATGCCCCTGCCCTTTATCCTCTCAAAGTCGGGCCCCATCTGCTCTGCCAGCTTCTCAACCAGCTCCCTGTTTACGCTGACCACGAAGAAGTGCCAGCCGAACGCAAACTCCGAATCGGTCACCGCAAACTCCTCCTGAGAGTGCACCATCTCCTCCAGGCTTCCGAGTACCGAGATGATCGCCATGCTTGTCTTGTCATAGTCCACCGCGGACACGTTGATGTTGATCCTGCTCTGCATGATACCAGATTGCCCCCTGCAAGATAAAAGGGTTATAGGCCCGTTCCGGACATGGTGCCAGGCCGCCCCGGCGCCCCCGCAGGGCGCCTGCGTCGGGCATGGCCGGACATCTGCATCCATTCCGGCAGGCGCGCCGCCTACTCCAGCAGGTGCTCCACTTCTATGTCAAAGAAGGTGCGCAGTATCCCCATGTACGTCCGTATGGACTCCGGTATCTCCTCGGTGCACGTGACGCCCAGGTTCCTTGCGTTGATCCACATGGTCACCGACTGGAGTATGGTGAGGAACCGGTCGTTCTTTGCGTCCGGCGACCCTATCGCCCGGGTGTAGCGCTCCGAGTACTCCCAGGCGGTGACAAAGTCGATGCACTTTACGCCAAACACCGCCCGCAGCTGCTCCTGCAGGCTTGACGCCCGCAGAAACGGCGCCTGGCTCACAATGTACGGAAAGTCCACCAGGGTGGGGAGGCATCCCGGCAGCGGGCTCCACACCGTGACCACCCTGCAGCCCTCCCTTAGTCCCTCAAACTTTGGCATCATCGCGTCTGTGATGCCCTCATCGGCAAACCAGAACAGGACCACCGTCGCATCCGACAGGTCGGCATCCCGCACGTCGCCGCACACAAACTCCACGTTACCCTGAATGCCCCCTGCGGACTCGATCTTGCTCCGGTCGGTGTCTATGCCCACGGATCTCCTGGCGCCATACCCTGACGCAATCCTGACCCCCGAGCCGTCACCGCACCCCAGGTGGTAAAAGACGTCCCTCTTCCCCAGTCCCACAAGATCAAAGATGCTCCGCAACGAGCTCTCGGTAAGCTGGACCTGTTCCCCGGAGATTATCTCGCCCGGAAGCGAGTCGATGTACTCCTCGATTCTCAATCTGTCTATTTCTGGGGCTGGTAAATTTATGTCTAGATGGCGGTACGGCTCTAGTCCTTGATGCCTTCCAGCTTGGCCACGGCCTGCCATATGGTGGTCCGGACAAAGGACGGCATGTTGGGATCCTGGGTGATGTCCTCGAGGGCGCTCATGGCGTTTGCGGCGCGCACGGCCATCGAGTACTCGCCGCTCTCAAGATCCGAGACCATGTCCGCGATGCTCTTCTTGATGGTCTTTGGCGTCGCCGGGCTTGAGGCTATCTGGCTGAGCGTGGCTATGGACTCTGTCAGTGTCCCCTTGTTCTTCTCCTTTGCCATTCCCCTACACCTCTACGAAGACGTTCCCTGACTCTACGGTCACCTTGTACTGCTGCAGATCCTTTATGGCAACGGGAAACTTTGCAAGCTTGCCGGTCGTGCAGTCAAACTCCGCGCCGTGCCAGCCGCAGACCACGCTGGTTCCGTCCAGCGTCCCCTCCGAAAGGCTGGAGCCTGCATGGGTGCATGTGTCGTCAACCGCATGGTAGGTTCCGTCCAGGTTTACAATCATGACGTCCCTGCCGTCAACGGTGACCTTGTGGAGGCTTCCGGGGGCCATGTCTGATGCCTTGCCAGCTATAACTCTTCCCATGAAATCCATCGGCGGCCCATTCTTAATAGTTTTTACATTTTGGGGGGGTTGGTGCGTAATTCTCCGAACCGCCTAGACCCGTCCGATACGTTCAATGATCCGCGATCTCCCGCACGCGGCAATGAGCGAACACAACAGACGGGAAGGATACTGGCAGTACTATGAACTGGCAAAGGAAGTCGAGGCACCTAGTCTGAAGAGGACGCTGATCGAGATAATCCGGGAGAACCCTTGCCCGCGCCGAGAAAACGGCAACAGGGGCCGTCCCCCGGTTCACTCCAAGGAGAAACTGGACTTTGCCTGTCTGCTGATGATGGCAGGCAACAACACCTATCGCGGAGTCGAATCGGACCTGCGAGGCATGCGGACACCATGGGACAACGAGCCCGTCCCGGACCATACCACACTGGTCAGGCACCTCCAGACGATACCAGCAGACTGGCTCGATCTGATCGTGGCCGAGACGGCCCGCCGTTGCATCAAGGAGGCGGACGAGGCGACGGGCCCGCTGGGAGCCGACAGCAGCGCGGCGGAGACCACTAGGTACGAATACGTCGAGAGGCCAAGCAGGAAGGAGCGCGACTTCGTCGAGACACGCCAAAAGACCTACTGGAAATACCACATAACGGCCATCTTGGGCCTGCAGATCGTGCTGGCGGCGTTCACCACGCCCAGCAACATCAACGACACGACCATGCTTCCAGTCATGCTGGCTGAGATCAGGCGTCGCGGGTTTGACTTTGCGGGGAATTTCTTTGACGGGGACAAGGGGTACGACTCTGACTACAACTGCGAGCTGCTGTTCTGGATGGGCATGATCCCCAACATCAAGCAACGGAAGGATGCTGTCAACCGTGGCAAGTCGCACAGGAGGAAGGCAGCCGGCATGTTCAGCGATAGCGAGTACAGAAAGAGGGCCCTGATAGAGGGCATCTTCGGGGCCGAGGAGACCCGGCGGCACCAGCTGCACTGCCGGTTCGTCCGGGAGGACAACCGGCGCCGGTTCGCCAAGGGAAGGGCGATCGCCTGGAACATCCGGACCCTCAACCGGTTCGAGTGCGCCAACCGGCTGAACATACCAATACCCTCCTACGGTGGCATGGCGCACGTGGGGTGCGCCTGATGATCCGACCCGTCAGTAGCTGATCACGGCGTGCTGGCAACAAAGCCCGACACGCACCAAAGCACCGCCGGTGAAGACGCAACGGGAGACACACATGAGCAGGACGGAGCAGAATTACGCACCAACCCCCATTTTGGGAGCTGCGTCCTACAGACATAGCCAAACGCGCCAAATCGACAGAGCCAATTCCAGTTCACATATGCCCGTAGGACACAGCCCATTTTGGGTGAGCGTTTGCAACCCCCGTCACGACCCGCGCCTGCGCCCGGTCGCGGATTATGGCGCAATTCCCATATTCTTATACGCGCAGCGGTGCAATACGTGATGATGACAGAGCAGCCGCAGCCCTTGGGCGCCCACGACGCCATCATGCTGACGATGGCTGCCAAGGGAGACAATCCCATTGGGAGGACCGCGCTGCAAAAGGTAATCTATTTCGAGTCCCTCAAGGTTCCGGCCAGCATATCCTACAGGTCCCACTACTTTGGCCCCTTCAGCAAGGATGTGGCGGCCGCGCTGGAGGATCTCATAGTGGCCGACTGCATCGACGAGAGGGTAACACTGGCATACGACCACGAGTCGTACTCCTACAACCTGACTAAGGAATGGGTGGAGCTGGCCAGGGAGGACAGCAGGAGAAGCCCGCACTACGCAGCCATAAAGGACGTCGTAGACGGATGCGACGAGTTCTGCCGGCTGCGGCCCAGGGAGCTCTCCCACGCCGCCAAGGCGCATTACATTCTAAGCGCAAGCCGCAGCAAAGGCGCGATCACGCGCAGCGACGTCAAGAAGGCCGGCGAGGGCCTTGGGTGGACGATATCTGAGAATAATGCGGACAGGGGCTTTGAGCTCCTTTCACGGTTGGGCCTTGCCACGTAACACCGGACACGACTTTCGGTACAAGTCCATCAGGGATCCACTCTATGGGTTTGTGGGCCTCTCCCGGGAGGAGACCAAATTGATCGACACGGATATCTTCGGCAGGCTGCGGAGGATCAAGCAGCTGTCGCACGCCTATGTGGCGTACCCCTCGGCGGTGCATACCAGGTTTGAGCACTCGCTTGGGGCGGCCCACATTGCCGGCAGGATGTGCGACGAGCTGGATCTCGATGTGGAGCAGAAGCGGCTTGTCAGGATGGCGGCCCTCCTGCACGATGTAGGGCATGGCCCGTTCTCCCACCTGTTCGAGCATGTCCTCCGGTGGACCAATCCCGGGAATGTCAGATATCCACGAGCGCATAACCCGGCTGATCGTCGAGGAAGACGGGGAGATCGGCGACATCCTGGGGGACGACAGGAGGAGGATCGTCGATCTCCTGGACGGCAGGGCCGACACCACCGGCGACATCCGGGAGTTCTCGCTGCTCTCGCAGATCATCTCAAGCGGACTGGATGCCGACAGGCTGGACTACCTCAGGCGCGACTCGTACCATGTGGGCGCCGCATACGGGACCTTTGACCTGGAGAGGATACTCTACACGCTGAGAAGAACCCCTGGCAGGGAGCCGCTGCTGGCGGTGGACGCAAAGAGCGCGGGGGCCGTGGAGAACTACCGGATTGCGCGATACCTGATGCATGCCCTGGTCTACGGGCACCACGCGCACCTTGCGGCGGACCGCATGTTCCTGCATGCGATGCATGCCGCAATCTACGACGAGGGGATCATCGACCGGAACCGTCTCAGGATGGACTCGCCGGGGAGATTCCTCCCCTTTTACAGGAGCCTGGATGACGACTCCGTCAACGATCTAGTCATAAACGATCCCAAGGCGGGCCTGTCAAGGGAGATACTGAACCAGATCCGCCGGCGCAGGCTGCTAAAGCGCTCCTGCCAGTTTAGGGTGCAAAGGACACTGCCCCTGAGGGACGCGGGGCAGGCCGACGAGATGCAGCGCCTGCGGTCCAAGAAGCGGATAGTCGAGATGCCGCAGCGCGAGCTGGACTCTGTGGCAGCAGAGGTGGCCGGGGATCTCGGCCTCGGCGTCCACGAGATCGTACTCCACAGGTTTGACACGGAGACAAAACTGTTCGGCGAGATGGACATCCTGCTGCTGGACGACGGCCAGGTTCACGACATGAAGGCGATGTCGCCCATATCCGCCCACGTGGGGTACGTCAAGTTCTACGCGTTCGGCCCGGAGGACGGCGCCGTCCGCAAGAGGATTGCCCAAAAGATCGCCGAGAGGCTGGAGATCGACGCGTCCGTGCTTGGGCTGGCAGCGGATCGGGCGCCGTAGCCCGGCGGTACCCGCCAAAGACGCCGACACTCTTTTGTATGCGTCTGCCACAGACGGGGCATGAAGGTATCATGGGATGAGAAGATCTGCATTCACTCAGGCAAGTGCGTACAGAACCTTCCGTCCGTGTTTCGCGTGCAGGACGGCCGGTTTGTCATAACCCAGGACGGCGCAGACCCAGGGGAGATCAAAAGGGTGGTAGGGTTGTGCCCGTCCGGAGCCCTAAAGATAGAGTGAGGGCCTCCGGGGGGAATCGAACTCCCGTCCGGGGATCCACAGTCCCCTATACTCACCACTATACGACGGAGGCCACAAGATTCACGGCAATGCATTCCAGTATTAATCTTTGAGATCGCGCCCGGAATATGCGGCGCGCCTGACATGGTACAGCAGGTAGCCATACGGCACCCTGACACCCAGATGCCCGGACAGCCGTGACCCGACGCCTACCGCATAGGCGCATGCGGAGCTTGCGCCGCGGCGGCTCCGACTCTAGGTTTATTATTAACTGCATCAAAAAATCGGGCATGAGGCGCTACTGGTGGATTACCATGGCCGTTGCCGCTGCGCTGACCTACGTGGGCATGGTCTATTACCTTCCCTGGAAGTAGCGTCACACCCTGACGATCCGGGGCCCGCGGGTGGCTTGCGCCTAGGGGTCGTCAAACCGCACCACATTCGAGATGGCTCCCAGCCCCTGGATCTCCATGTCTATCCTGTCGCCGTCCTTCAGAAACCCAAAGCGGGAGCTCTTCAGCGCAACGCCCGCGGGCGTGCCGGTGGAGATGACATCACCCCGTTCCAGGGTCATCCCGCGGCTGAGCCTTGATATTATCTGCGGTATCCTCACGGACATGCCGGCGGCGGTGGCGTCCTGCCTTGTCTGGCCGTTGACCTTGGTCACAAGCTTCAGGCTGTGGGGGTCTGCTATCTCGTCTGCGGTGGTGATCCAGGGCCCGCATGGCGCAAAGGTGTCCATGCCCTTTGCCCGGCCAAACTGCCCGTCCTTAAACTGGATGTCCCGGGCTGTCACGTCGTTGAGTATCATGTATCCTGCCACCGCACCCATGGCCTCGTCCTCGGATACGTTCCTGCACTCCCTGCCCATCACAAAGGCAAGCTCGATCTCATAGTCCAGCTCCCTCACAAAGCCCGGGCACCTGATGTCTGCGTACGGCCCGGTCAGGGCGGTGCGGGGCTTGAAGACTATGACGGGACCGTCCGGTACTGTGACATTCTGCTCTGATGCGTGATCATAATAGTTGAAGGCAAGGCATATGATCTTGGGCGGCGCATCGATGGGCGCAAGGACCGTAAACCCGTCCAGGTTCTGCTCGTATGATATCCCCTTTGTGCGTATCTCCTCCAGCCAGCCGTCAAAGAGAAAGCTCTTGACGCTGGCAGGCACCGGCACGCCGGTCTGGCGCGCCATGTCCTCCATAGTGGCCACCATGCCGTCCCTTACCACGCCATACGTGTTGACGCCCCCGCTGCAAAGCCGTGCCACCCTCATGATATCCTACCTGTGGGTCATGATCGCCCGGTACCCGGACTCCTTCCTGCAGTAGCCAAACCTGACAAACTGGATCTCCGTGTCGTCGGCAAGCTCGAGATAGTGCGGCTCGACTGCCACCTCCTCCACCACCAGGCTGTCCTCGTTGAACTTGCCGTCCACAAAGAGGCGGTTGGTGATTATGAGATTTATCTTGTGCGCCACCCTCCGGGGAACCCACTGCACTATGGGGTAGCCCTTCATCTCGTCCCCCGAGTACTCCCCTGTCAGGCGGCCTTCGGATGTGATCCTCACGTTGCCCAGCCCCATGAGCCGGATGCAGTCTCCCGGGGCTAGGCTCTCCGCATCGTCGCCAGAGATGAGCACGGTGTCATCGGTTGCCAGCATGCGGCTGCCCAGGTCAGCAGACGGGTGGTTTGCAAGCCTTACCGGGGATGCGGGCATGCCCCCGACTGCCAGCTCCGTGGGCCTTCTTGCCATGTGCAGCCTGATGCTTGTGGCATCCACCGCCTTGCGGTTAAACGCCTCGAGCGCCCCAAAGGGCGCCAGCGTGTTTGACTTGGTGAACCCCAGGGACAGGATGAACCTCCTTATGGCCTCGGGCCTTATGCCGCGCCTCCTCATGGCCTCCAGCGTGGGAAGCCGCGGGTCGTCGTACCACGCGACCTTTTGCTCCTCGATCAGCGGCCGCAGTATCCTCTTGGACACGGGCATGCCCTCAAACTCCAGCCGGGCAAACTCCAGCAGGACGGGCTTTCTCATGCCCAGGTCGTCCAGTATGGAACAGTACAGTTGGTCCCTCAGCTCGTACTCCTTGGTCCTGAAGGCGTGCGTGACGCCGTCGGAGCTGTCCTCAATCGCCACCGCAAAGTCGTAACCCGGCCAGACCCGGTACCGGTCAAGCGTCAGGGGGTGCCGGGCGTCGATTATCCTGAATATGATGGGATCCCTCATCACCGTGTTCTCCGAACCCATGTCGCCCCGGTACCTGGCAACGGCCTCGCCGGGCTTGTACTTCTCAAACATCCTCTCCCACATGTCGTGGTTCTTTCCGGGCTCTGCCCTGCTGCACCTGCAGGGCGCCTTTCTCTGGCGGTTCCTGCTGATCTCGTCCCGCTTGCATGTGCAGACGTACGCGTGGTTTGTCCTTATCATCTCGGCGCCCTTGGCGTACAGCAGCCCCATGTCGTCTGACGTGTTCTTGATTACGTCGTACCGTATGCCCAGCCACTCCAGGCCCACCTTTATGGCCGCATAGTACTCGAGCCGCTCCCCCTCGGGGTTGGTGTCGTCCATCCTGAGGATCTTCTTTCCGCCATACCTGTCGACGTACCACTCGTTTATGATGGCGGCCTTTGCGTGTCCTATGTGCGGGTAGCCGCTTGGCTCCGGCGGAAACCTCGTCACCACGCCGCCGTCCTGCGCGCCCTCAAGGGGCGGAAGCGCCTGCCCGGTGGAGTAGCCCGCATCTGTGGGGGCGTCCCCTGCGGCATCGCCGGGTCCCGGCTTGGCCGCGTCCTGGTACTCTGCCAGGGCGGCCCCCTGCTGCTCTGCTGACATGCCGTTGATCTCTGCCACCATATCTGCAATCTCGCCCATGATCTCCTTTGCCTGGCCCCTGTACTCGGGCCTTGCGCCCAGCAGCTTTGCCAGGACGATCCCGTCGCGGGTCCTGCCGCCATGCGCGGCGGCATTCTGCAGGGCTATCCTCCTGATGTCGTCTGCGGGCGCTGCCAAGTCAAAGGCTCCTCTTTACGACAAAGTCCAGCAGGGACTCCAGCTCGTCTTTTGCGGCGCCCGAGTACGCGCCCAGGCGGGTGCGCGCCCTCTTGGCGTACCGGTTCGAGCGGAGCCTGACGGCATCCTCTATCCCCAGATCCCGGATCACGCTCACCGCCGCGTCCAGGTCCTCCTTTGTGGCGCCGGGGTTTCCAAAGCACTTCAGTATGGCGTCCCGGTCGTCACCCGCCGCCCCGTCAATCGCCGCCAGTATGGGCAGGGACTTTTTGCCCTCCCGCAGGTCGTTTCCCACGGGCTTCTTTGTGAGGCCAGGATCCCCCATCACGCCGATGAGGTCGTCAGTTATCTGGAATGTGATGCCAAGGTTCTTCCCGAATGCGGACATGTTTGAGATGTCATCCCGCCCGGCGCCGGCGCAGATGGCGCCCATGGAGCACGAGACGTCAAAGAGGGCCGCGGTCTTTTTGCTGATCATCCTGACGTACTCCCTCTGCGACGGTATCCTGCTGCTCTGGGACATGGCTATGTCCAGCTGCTGGCCCTCGCATATGTCGACGCACCCCCCTGCCAGCCTGCCCATGAGCTCCGCTGCCATATCCTGTGGGGCAAGGCTCGCTATCACCTGGTACGCCTTTGAGAAGAGCACGTCGCCTGCCAGGATCGCCAGCGGAACCCCAAACTTGCTGTGGGTGGTGGGGACGCCGTGCCTGACCTCGTCGTTGTCCATTATGTCGTCGTGCACCAAAGAGAAGTTGTGGATCATCTCGACTGCGGCGGCAGCTGGCATGGCGTCTGCCGGCTTGCCTCCCAGGAGCTGGCAGCTCTTCAACACCATGTACGGCCGGAGCCTCTTTCCGCCGTTCCTGATCAGGTGCGATGCCGCCACATACAGGCTGTCGGGGCTCCCCCGTAGCCTTGCAAGGAGGTACCGGTTTACAGCGCCAGCGCTCTTCTGCGGCCCACTCACCTGACCAGCCTCCAGTTGCCGTCGGGGATGTGCTTCCGTATGGACTTTGCCAGCTGCTCCCTCATGGCAGGCCCGGACCACTCCTCCAGGACGCTGCCGTACTTTTCCCGCGCCCCGGCGTCGGACTCCGGAAGGAGGTATAGCGCGATGAGCATCCAGGGGCAGTACATCATGGCGTCCTCTCTCATGCCTGCCAGCAGCTCGCCGGGGGACACCGTGGCGACCTCGCTTATCTCGCCTGCGTCCACGCCAAACCTCTCATTCTGGTCCACCAGCCCGATTACGGTTCCGCAGACCTCGTTCTCGGATCCCACGTCCATGTACGGCACGTGGTACTCGAACTTGAAGAGGTAATCCATCTTGCAGGCCGCCCCCATCTCCTCGGGCATCCTCCTCTCTGCGGACGAGACATACGTCTCAGACTCCCGCGGGTGGCTGGCAAACGTCCCGTCCCATATGCCGGGCCACAGCATCTTGGTGGGGCTCCGCCGCGCCAGGACCAGCCTGCCGTCCGCGTCAAAGAGCAGCGCGGTGAACGCGCGGTGCAGCCTTCCGTGGGGCAGGTGGCACCTTACCTTCTCGTCCGTGCCGGTCCGGCGATCGTCCCCGTCTACCAGAACTAGATACTCAGTCATCTTACCTGCCTCTGAATAGGGTGCCCCGGAATTTCTTTCTTTTTACCGCGTCTGCGATGCGCCCGGGGTCGTGGCCGTTTACAAAGAACACGTCGTGGCCCATACCGGATATCTGCATGGCCTCCTGCACCTTTCGCGCCATTCCGCCGGTGACGTCCATTCCGTTATCAGACGTGCGGAAGCTCTGGCCGTCCACCACGTCTATGACGGACTCGGACTCGGGATCCCGGTACAGGCCGTCCACGTCCGTGGCAAATATGCAGAGCCGCGGCTTTAGCGTCCGGGCCATCATGCCCACGATGCGATCCCCCGAGAGTATGTACGATGCGCCCCGGCCGTGCCAGAGGGCGTCGCCGTACGTCACCGGGGTCATACCGGACTCGGCTATGTCCCCAGCCTCCCTTATGCCTGCGGGGGCGGCCCTGCCCCCCCTGACAAAGCCCGCCGGCGGCAGGCAGTACGGGCTCATGCCGCACCGAAGAAGCGAGTCCAGGATTATCTTGTTCAGCTCTACCATCGAGTTCTTTACGGTGGCCACGCCCCGGGCGTCATGCCTCTCGGGCCTTGTGTGCATGTCGTACTTTACAGACCAGTGGTGCCCAAAGGAGCCGCCCCCGTGCACTATGACCAGCGGCTCGCCGAGATCCGCCAGGACATCTGCCATGCCGTCTATGGTTTTGCGCCTGGGCGTCAGCGGCTTGCCCTTGTCGGTGATTATCGAGCCGCCCATCTTTAGGATTATCATGATATCATCCTGCATATTTTCATGCAGTTAAAGGTATTCAGGTGCTACATGTAGGGAATAGGGTGCTTCTCTGGGTCTGCCACTGCGGCACTCATACAGGATCCACTGCCACATAAATAAGACTTCCGGCGTCCGGTTCGTACGAGGTCACGTACCCCCTCCCAGTAGGCAAGGTTTTTCTAAATTAGAATATCTTTCATGCCTAGAGTACAGAGGCAGGTGACCACATACTCCGGCTCTGTCGGGATACGCCCACCACATGCCGCCTGTTCCGGACCCAAGCCGGCCAATCGGGACAGGTGCCGGAGGCGGCGGGATCGGGAACCGGTGCCCTGCCCGGCATTGGGCGCGGCCCTGCGGATCTACCGCGGGGATCCCGAGAGCTACTTTTCGTTCATCACCCCGGAGGCCTGCATGTACCTTGACATGTACAGGGAACAGTGGGGGAGGGATGTCGGCGCGTACCCGAAGCCGGGCGACCCCCTGCTGAGGACGACGGTCCAGATCGCGGTCAAGAGGCTGAACGCAAAGGGCGTGAAGGCCAGGGTAACCAACCTTGCCTCGGGCGTAGGCCTCAGGCCCAAGCTCCCGGCAGGCAAGAGGAGGCACTCGGTGCCGATAGACCACGGGTTCCGCAAGTACTTCAACACGATGATGAGGCGCGCAAAGGTGGACTACCTTGACAAGGAGGACATGATGGGCCACTCCACGGGGCTCGAGAAGCACTACGAGCGGTACTGCGAGGAGGACTTTGAGCGGTTTCCGGAGTACCAGAAGGCGATACCGTTCCTTACGATATCTGACGGGGAGAGGCTGAGGGCGGAGAACTTGGCGCTCAAAAGGGAGGCCGCCGAGTCCGCCGCCGGGTCAAGCCCGGACATGGAGCTCGTCACCAGGCAAATGCGGCAGCTCAGCGAGGAGCTCGCCAAGGTGAAGAGGAGGATGGAGATCGCCGAGAGGTACGAAAAGGCAGGCACCCTGCCAAAGGGCCCGGAATAGCGCGCCCCGGCCGGACATAATCTTATGTATGCTTGGCGTGCGGATACGGTATGGCCAGGCTCCCCCGCGCACGGAAGCGCCAGGACGCGAAGCCTAGGGCGGCACGCTACGAGAACGAGGGCAAGCCGGTCCCGTGCGCAAACTGCAAGGGGGGGTTCGTCAGGCGCCGCCGCGGCCATATGTACTGCCGGAGGCCGGAGTGCCGCAAGGAGATCCAGCAGCGCGCCCATGTGAAGTGGTACAGCAGGAACGGCGTGGAGCAGCGGGCAAAGATGCGCCGGCGATACGCCGCCGATCCGACAAAGGTCAAGGGGCGCCAAATGGTTATGTACCAAAGGAAGAAGGCCGCCGCCGAGGATGAGGCCGGGACCAACTTTGCGGCGAGCCTGGCTGCCGTCTACATGACCATGGGCAGCGGGAAGCGTGGCCCAATCGCCGATGACGGCGGCGCGCCCGAGGGCCAGGCGGCGCGCAAGGCCGGGCGCCCGCGCAAGTCCATTGCGCCGCTCTTCAAAAAACCACGGGCCGCCTGGACGCGCCGATGAGACGCCACAAGTGGCATGCGGTTCCTGGCATGGGTGGGTCGCGCATGCGGGGCCTTGGGCCGTGGCGCGTCTCCGCCGCCGTCTTGCACACCCGTGGCGGCTTGGGAGGCCTGGCGTGCACGGCCGCCGGCCTGCGGGGGCACCGGCCCGGCAACGGATGCCGGCGGCCGGGCCTGCGCGCGGAGCCTCCGCCACTGGGTCAGGGACGCATCCCGCGGGCTGCGGATCCGAGCCTGCCGATCGACACCGGTGCCGCAGGGCCCGTCTGGGCAGGTTCCGCAGACGTGTTACCCTGTTTTTATGAACCAATCGTCCATCTCCCTTAAATAGGGTCTTCAGGACAAGAAAGCAACAATATGAACAACGAATTATACAGAAAACTAACTAGTATAACACTTATGACTATAATGTTTGCAGGTGGGATGACCATCGCAATACCCGGCGAGACGCCGGTTGCAGTCGCGCAGACTGGAATGCTCAGCGTTTCAGCCACGGCTGCCCCCGGCAACTCCTTTGGAGGACCGCAGATAATCGAGATCATAGTAGACGACCCGACAAGGAGCGACCTTGAATTAACGATCTCATCGCCAGACGTTACCATAGACGGTGACCCAGTGACGATGACGCAGGCAGACACCGGAAAGTGGTATGCATATGTTGCATCCGAATCTGGTGTTGCTGCTGCGGAGCTAGTAGACGACACCTTTCCTGACCCTGATGCGAGCTTGGCTACCACTGAATTCCTAGACGCTCCGGCAACAGCTGGCAGAGATAATGGCGTCTTTAATCTTCAGACATACTCATTTGACGACGACTCAGACATTGATGTCGTGCTCGGCGCCGAGACAATCACCCTGCACTACGACGCAGATCTTGACGGTCTTGCCACGGTAAGCACTGACAGGGCCGGGGTGCCGATAGGCGGCCAGGTCCATGTCACGATAAGCGACTTTAGGCTGAACCTGGATCCAACCGAGGCAGACGTATGGTATATGAATGCCTCCGGTTCCAGCGCGACGTATGGTACTACCGCTGTCAACGCCCTTGCCATCGCCGTCGCAGCACCCATCACTAACTGGAATACTGTCTTCGGAGGAAACGGTGGAGAGTTTACCCTTACCGACCCAATGGCGGCAATTTCAGACATAGACGTAACCGGCGACGGAATTGTTAACGACTTAATCGCTGACGCTTCAGACAACATAGTGAGGTTTGAGGAGACGGGCGCAAACACAGGCGTGTTTGAGAGCCAGAATGACGACGAATCGAATATCGTAGCCAACGGCAACGAGAACGACGACTTTACGATAGAGTATGCCGACGACGACGTCCAGGTGTTCATCGAGGACTTTAGCTCCACCCTAGAGGTGATAGCAGACGGCGCGTGGGACTCTGGCGAGTCTCTCACCGTGAGGCTGACAAGCGAGAACCTCAACACCAACACACTGACGGAGCAGGACATGGCGATAGACGACGACGCTCTTCCCGTACTGATACAGGGAGATCCCATCACACTGCACACTGTAGAAATAGCGAGGGTTGGCGAAGCGATATTTGGCGAGGAATGGTCTGTCAACGAGAACACCCAAGTGGCAACACTGAGGGCAACAAATACCACCACCACGTTTACCATAACACTGTCAGACTCGCAGCTGGAACGACTCAAGAGTGACACAATGAGCAGCTATGTTCACTATTCAAGCGAGAGCTTTACAGCAACCACTGACGCACAACTCAACATCACCGGCATTTGACCCCCGCAGCCCTGAAACGATGCCATCCCAGTAGTGGATGGCGCACCGCTAAGAGTGCTTGAGGACGCCGACGGCATATTCACCATAACGTTCACCACAGATGCAATTGACACAGCCGCAGCAGACACAAAACGAGGCTGTCGGAACGGCTCTAGAGGCTGCTGTGAACGCCACTGCTGAGAGCTGACCCCAGTGCGCCAGTACTGTTAAGAGCTGCTGCTACTCAAGGACCTTAGTGGTACCACGTCAGAATTTGCCACCGCTCTTGCTGCGATTGATGAGAACGCTGACGGCGCCAGTGCGGAATCCGTTCTTGAAGCAATTCGAGAAGCCGCCGACGCCAACCTCAATGAGGTTACAGGCACAATCGTGGCAGACATCTTCACCTTTGGAGCAGACGCAAACGACGCAATCTACAGGGGCACTGCTGGAGGAGACGACTCTGCTTCCGGCGTGTTCGAGGGAACGATCGAGTACGAGATGCTGAACCAGCGCACAGCCGACAATCTGACACGCATGACAACGTAGATGCCATAAGCGACGAGCTGACCATGAGTCCTGAACACGGACTACACGGGCAGCGACGCACCAGAATTCACATACGACGGGGACAACGCAAGCGAGGACGCGCCGACGAACACCGGTGAGGTGAGCGTCGATGCTTCCAACCTACAGGGTATCAGACGACGTGACCATCACACTGACAGACGCGGACCTGAACACGACTCTGGCGCGCGTGAGATATACCGAATTGTCAACAGCGACGGCGACACCATAGAGCCAAGACTTGCGAGCATAGCGATAGGCGACTTGAGCATGCGTAAGCGAGATAAGAGACGTCTCATGCGTGAGACGGCATCTGACAGCGGCATATCGAGGGATCCTTCGAGGTTCCAGACGCATGTGGCGTTGACAGTGACGGTGACCCAATACTGACAAACAGGCGAGAGCATAACGGTCACGTACGTTGACTTCCGGGGACGAAAACCGGCGGAGACAGCGAATGGACCGACTCGGCCACGATGGCGCGGACACCGGCTCTGTCAGTCTGACAGGACCGTCTACCCGGTTCCCACAGATGCAGATACTGATAACAACATAGAAGCACACAAGTCACGATATCCGTGGCAGTTGACGACTCAGATGTCGACACGTCATCCAGCAGCACACAGACGATCGGAACCGATCGCGTAGAACTAACCGTAGCCGGATTGATAGTCGACTGGGCGAGCTCAAGGAGACCGAGCCTGACTCGGCCATCTTTGATGCATCGGTAGCGATTGGGAGACACTGTCACTGGCATAGATTCCAGTGGTGAGGAGAGAAGACCGCGCATAGAACAGGGGACATCATTACCGTGAGATACATAGGACGAATCAGACGCATCTGGCAACGAAAATCGGTGTCCGGACTCTGCAACATTTGACCTGAGAAAACGCCGTGCTGACATCAGACAAGTCAAGTCTACGTGATAGGCCAGGACGCGCTATGACGCTGATAGAGGCGGATCTAAACCTCGACTCTGGCACCATAGACAGCGTTGACCGTGACCGCATAAATTGGGACTCTGAGCATACGACGGCTCACTTATGACGTAAGAGCATGACTTGGCGCCCCTGGTACCGACAATACCTCAGAGAGGACGGGCGAGAACACTGGAATCTTCCAGGTTGTCATCACAATCTCAGAGAGCATCGACGATAACGCACTGGAGCGCGGACGAGGAGATCACGCTCGCCTACTTAGACAGGGGACCGTCAGGTGCCGACTATGTGGGCGACGATGAGAGAGACGTCGAGCTGCAAATCGAGACATCCAACTTTGGCGCAAACAGTAGAGCTTGACCAGAACGTCTACACGTGGACCGACAAGGTGTTCATCACCGTTGTGGCATCAGACTACAACTTGACTCCAACATAGTCGACGAGATCGGCACGGACGACAAGGGTGAGATCACCATCAGGACGCGGGCAGGCGAGGTACAGTACAGGCTAGCCGAGACAGGACCCGACACGGGCGTGTTCACCGGAGAGCTGGTGCTCACCGGCGACAAGGATGCCCTAGACGAGGGTGGCCCACAGGGCACCTCATCTGAAGGGCTAGCTTGGCCGACCGACGGCACCATCAAGACAAGGACCTCGGACGGAATCAGCATATCCTTCGACTACTCCGACAGCGAAGCCCCACTAGTGGCCTCTGCGCTCATCCGATGGAACGTCGGCGAGGTGCAGTGGCTCGAGGCAAGCTACGCGGCGACCGGTTCGGGCGTCGTGCGGATAATCGATCCTGACATGAACATCAACCCAGACGCAGTCAACAGTATCGACGCGGTTGTCTTTTCAGAGACATTCATAGGCGGCATCGAGCTCACATTAACTGAGACGCAAGAGGCCTCTGGAATCTTTGAGGGAACAGTCGAGTTTGATCCAGAGTCAGCTTCAGACGGGCACAGACTTCAGGTAACCGAGGGTGACATAATCACCGCCGCATACGAGGACGAGACACTTCCAAAGCCCGACAACGGCGACACACTCGAGATCACCGCGACGACACTGATCGGAGCCATCGTACCCCCACTGGAGCGCGCGCCGGCATCAAACCCGGCCATAGTGGATGCCTTTGGCAACTCAATAGCTTCGGTATCGGTCGACCAGCAGGTCCTGATCACAGCCGACCTCACAAGCGGACAGGACAGGGAACAGGACTTTGCGTACCTAGTCCAGATACAGAACGAGGACGAAGTCACAATCCAGCTGTCATGGAGCGCCGGCACCCTTGGTGCTGGAGACACGTTCAGCCAGTCACAGTCATGGACACCTAGCGAGACAGGAAGTTACACGGCAACCATATTCGTATGGGAGTCCGTCAACAACCCGACCGCACTGTCACCACAACTCTCAATAACGATAGACGTAGTATAATACTAGAAAAATTTCTTTTTTCTTTTTTTTGATTTGGACGCCAGGGCGGCCTGCGCGCGGCTCCAGATCCACGCATAACCCCATTCCCGCACAATCAAGGTATCTGAAGTGGCCGGCCCAGAGGCGCATGCCCGTCTTGGTGTCGAGTCCTTCCTGCGACGCGGTTTTGCGCCATTTAGCGGAATGTACGGGGCGAGACCGCTCCGGCCTGAACTGGAATGGCAAGGATCCTTGGCCGCCCTTTTGGCGACCGTCCCCGTCGTTGGGAGGGGCGTGGGCAGCCCCTGCCCCTCGAAAGGATAAATATCCACAGCTTGCAGCTTGCTACATGCAAATGGGGCCAAGGGGACCGGATGTCTGCGATCTGAGGGGGAGGGCGCCGCATGGCCCCGGCCGGCCCCATGATATGGCGACGGAAGATCTCTGCGAGCCCGCATGCCGTTCTGGCAACCTGGCAGGGGCGCGTCCGCGCGTTGTGGCAGGGTGGCATTGCCACAGGAAACAGAAAGGCGCCGCGGGGCAACGGCATGCCTGACAGGGCAGCGGAACCGGATCCGAGGGACGCCTCTGCATACGAGGCCGAAGGAAAGTCGCTGCAAAAACTCAACAGGCACAGGGAGGCGATAGCGTGCGCCGATAGGGCGCTGCGGCTGAACCCTGGGAGCGCCTCTGCGCACAGGATCAAGGGAAAGTCGCTGCAGAGGCTCGGGGAGCACCGGAAAGCGATAGCGTGCTTTGATGGGGAGATGGGTCTGGATCCGCAGGGCGCCTTTGCTCATGCAGCCAAGGGGAAGTCGCTGCAGATACTCGGGGAGCACGAGGAAGCGATAGCATGCTTTGACGTGGCGGCAGGGCTGAACCCTGGCTACTCCTTTGCGCATGCGACCAAGGGGCAATCGCTGCAGGAGCTCGGTAGACACCAGGAGGCGATGGCATGCCTTGATGTGGGGATAAGCCTGGATCCTAGGAATGCCTTTGCGCACGCGGCAAAGGGGAAATCACTGCAGGCGCTCGGAAGACACCAGGAGGCGGTAGCGTGCCTTGACGTGGCAATAGGGCTGAAGCCGAACAGCGCCTTTCCACACAGGATCAAGGGGAAGTCACTGCAGGCGCTCGGGGACCACCGGGAGGCGATGGCGTGCCTTGACGAGTCGATAAGGCTGGATCCGAGGAACGCCTCCGCGCACGCGGCCAAGGGGAAATCACTGCAGGCGCTCGGGAAGTACCGGGAGGCGATGGCATGCCTTGATGTGGCAGTTGGGCTGAGCCCGGACTACCCCTTTGCGCATGCGACCAGGGGAATAACGCTGCAGGCGCTCGGAAGACACCAGGAGGCGATGGCGTGCCTTGATGAGGCGATAAGGCTGGATCCGAAGAATGCCTTTGCGTATGGCGCCAAGGGAAGATCACTGCAGGAGCTTGGGAGATACGAGGAGTCGTTGGCGTGCCTTGGCAGGGCAACAGATCTGAGCCCGAACCACCCCTTTGCGTATGTGGCCAAAGGGATATCGCTGCAGGCGCTCGGAAGACACCGGGAGGCGGTAGCGTGCCTTGACGAGTCGATAAGGCTGGATTCGACTAATGCCTACGCATACGGAACCAAGGGAAAGTCGCTGCAAATGCTCGGGGAGCACCAGAAGGCGATAGCATGCCTTGATGAGGCAATTGGGCTGAAGCCGGACTACTCCTTTGCGCGTGCAGCCAAGGGAATATCGCTGCAGGCGCTCGGAAGACACCAAGAGGCGATAGCGTGCCTTGATGAGCCAATAAGGCTGGATCCGACGAACGCCTTTGCGCACAGGCGCAAGGGGGTGTCACTGCAGGAGATCGGAAGACACCGGGAGGCGATAGCGTGCCTTGATGAGGCGATAAGGCTGGATCCGAAGAATGCCTTTGCGTATGGCGCCAAGGGAAGATCACTGCAGGATCTTGGGAGATACGAGGAGTCGTTGACGTGGCTTGACAGGGCGATAGACCTGGGCCCGAACTACCAATTTGCGTACGTGACCAAAGGAGTGTCACTGCAAGAGCTCGGAAGACACCGGGAGGCGATGGCGTGCCTTGATGAGGCGATAAGGCTGGATCCGAAGAATGCCTTTGCGCATAGACGCAAGGGGGTGTCACTGCAAGGACTCGGGGAGAGCCGGGAGGCGATAGCGTGCCTTGATGAGGCAATGGCGCTTGACCCATCCTATGCCTTTGTGCATGAAGTGGACGAAGGCGGGTTTTCCGGCCTTGACCCCAGAACAAGGCACTGCCTCGTGGACACGATGGTGCTGTTGCAGATGCGGCAGGGCGATCCCGATGTGATTGGAGACGCCAAACGGGAGCTGCGCGGCGCCACACTCGTACTGCTGGATATTATCGCCGTCGAGGCCGTGCACAGGCACGGCAAGCAGGACGGCGGCCACGGAATGGCGGATCCCAAGTATTTTGTCTCGTTCCTGTCGGGCCTGCTCAAGTCCAGAGACATCAGGTTCAAGCTCGTGCGGGTGGAACAGGGCATGTATGCTTCCGTGCTACAGATGCTCTATGACAGGGCACACCCGCGCCTCTCCGAGGCGGACTGTACCCTGCTGTCCGCGGCAGTGGGATGCCCGGATATGGACGTCATGACCAGCGACAAGGCGCTGGCCGACGCCATAAACTCAGAGCGTGGCCCAAAGGCCAAAGGCAGGGTACTCGATGCGATGTCAAGCCATCACGGCAGGAGGCAGAGCACGGCCAAGCTCATCAGGAACAGGCTTGGCAGCTACATTCCGAAGGGAGCGCATGTAGAGTGGTATGACCGATTCTACCACACGGTGTTTCTGATCGCGGGCGCAACGGTCTCCATAGACCACGTCGAGAAAGGGAGAGTACGGGTCGATCTTCGGCCATTGGTGGCGAAGCCGGACAAGAAAATTCTAAAGATCCAGTCCGAACTAGGAGCAGAGGTACGGGAGCGTTTTTTCCGGCCAGAGATCCAATGGGTTCAAGAGAGGCTCCGAAAGGAGACCGGTGCGGGAAAAGGGGCGGCGCACGCAGAGCTAGGGTACGGCGACCATGCAGACGGGCTGGACGGGGAGACAAAGAGGCGCCTTGAGCGCAAGCTGAGGGGAAAGGGCATCGATGGCCGGGATCCCTGACGCCCCGGGACTCCGTCCTGACCCATGCAGCCAGATGAGCCCCGGAATCGGCCCGTTAGGCTCCGGTACGCGTCGAGGCCAGGTCCGTGAGGCTCTGTGGGGGCCTGGAACGGGCTAGCCGCATTTGACTGGCGATCCCCGCATGCGGCAGCTCTGGCGCAGGTACGCACACAAGCAGGGTAACCGCTGCCGCAGGCACCGTGCCTGCCGGCATGAGTAATATGAAGCGGATCCCGGCGCATGGTGGATGGCTGCTGGCAAGAAAAAGGAGTGCCCCATGTGCGGACACGCGATGATCGACATACAGGCCTGCCACGACCTCTGCCCCAACTGCGGCGCCCGCCTGGACTGCTCCGACGGCCCGTAGAGGATCCAAGGACGTGCGCGGCGCGCCGGGGCAATGCCGTGCATGGGGGCGTTTCGGCAGTTTCTCGTGGTGGCACCCTTCTGCACGCACCGGCAGGGTGCAACCCGCCGCTAGGGAGCGCTGTGACAGGAACTCCAAGCATCCCGATTTGCCTGCAGAGGCACCACCACAGCACTCTCCGGTGTGGCCTCTGTGGACGGGGCCATCTCCCATACCCAAGCGCCACCCCCGATATTACCAAAAATCCGCAAAGTCCATAGGCTTACACCGCCGCCATGCCCCTGATTTTCATGTGTTTTCTGGCCCCATATACGCGAGCGGCTTCCCATACTCAAACGGCGCCCTCCATGTCAACAGCCCTCACACATCCACGCGACTTTCCCCGTGTGCTGGCGCCGTTTTCCCATACGTTTCCACGGCTGGCTCGTGCTACAACTTCATTGTGGCTGCAAGCGGATCTGCCTGATACGGGCTGCGACTCCACGGGCCTGCTGCTCGGCCGTGCCGTAGAAGCGCAGCCCAGGCCGCATTCTAGGTTCCGGCGTCGCCTACCGTATCCAGACAATCCGTATTCCTGATAAAGCTCTCCGCGAACAGGTCGTTTATGTGCGTCTGTCTGTCCATGGCGTCGTTTATGCAGGTCGCGTCGGCACTCACATTGTTGCTGTAGGCATACATGTGCAACACCAGCTGACTGTTGTTCTCAAAATTCATTGCTCCCACCTCCATGGAGCCACCACCTTCATGGTACTCGACCTTCTCCACGGCCCCGGGGAACCGCTCGTACATCGCCACGTACGCCGGATGCTCCTGGAACTTTGCCAGAGTCTCCCCATCCGATCTGCCTGTGTCGCCCAGCCTCTCCCACGCGTTGCCAGCGTTCCCTATCATGAATGGAAGAAACGAGATCAGAAACAGGGCGAACACTGAAACGGCTATCCCGATCCCGACGTAGAATGCAATCTTTGTCAGCCTCTCCATGAGTAATCAAGCTGGGTGGAACAGCGCTTGTAAACTTTCATGTCCCCGCGGTGCCTGCATTTTTTGCCAAACAAACGTAAAGTCCGCAGGCCATATCTGGACAGCCACATTTTCCATATTCCCTGTGCAACCCGGACGACTCCCCATACGCATGGCGGCGGCCACAGTGATCCGTCGTTTCTGCGTCTGATTTGAGGCGCGTTTCGCTTGAAAGACGACGGATCTTTATGGCCCCCGATGCGCAAATGGCTACACCGGTATGACGAAGGAGGCCTAGACGACCTTCGGGATCTTCCCCGAAGCAGCAGGTCCATGCAGACCTGCCGCTGAGAGGCATCACCAGACTACGCACAGGTGTTCCACTAGGCAGCAAAATCGCCAAATGTGACAGTCTGGAATGCGGGACCGTACCTAATAAAGCAGTTTGAGCATGGCATCGGTTCCAATTTACCGTATAATTGTACGATAATGAGAACTCCTGCCAGCATTGGTGCTGGGTTTTTCAGCCATGTGCC